ATTTTTTTTGTTTGTTTTTGTCTCAGCATTTGCAGAAATTTATGTTATAAACAGTTAATAAATGCATTTTCCAATTATTTCTAACAAAATCTGTTCACTTTGCGTAATGCTGCGGTTTTAGTAAAACTGTTGTACAGTTGCTAAGTTTTCTATGAAAATTGGAATTCGTTTGGAACGGCGGAGTCCGCATTTAGAGGCACGTAGTTTGTGAGTGTGTTTTATTAGTCCGTTAGCAATAAAACGAGCTATTAACTAGACGGCGATATTAAACTTTATTGTTATTAATTAATTCTCGGAGCCCACGCCACTTTTATATCTTTTATTTTCAATTTTTTCTTGCTTCGTTTCACTCCTCGAGGCTTAGAAAAATACATATTTTTCTATCGTTAAAATTTCAATGATTAATATGCAATTTTATATGAATCTTCATTATTTGTTTGTGTTATTATTTTGTTAATGCTTACAGTCTTAGCTAGAAATTTGCATGTTCAATATGTTAATTGTCTTTAACTTAAAAAACTGTGTTATAACTTAAAAAAAATTGACTTCATGTTACCCAAATAAAATAAATTATATGTATTTTGAAATTGAACATATTTAGCTTTCAAAGACATATTTATTATGTTAAATGTATTCACTATATACTTAGAAATTCGCTATAAAGAATAGGACTGTGTTTACAATTTCAACGTTTAAACTTTTACATTGAATTACACAGATACTATCAAGTGCACTTTGAAGTAATTAGATGTATTTTAGACCTTGAAGTCTTAGCTGTAAGTTCAATATTTTAATTGTCTTAACTATTTTATGAGATATACGCTATAATGTATAAACTTAAACATTGCTTTTCTCAAAACTTGTGTCAACTTTGACATAGTATTACATAAAAACTGTAAATTCCACGATCATACAATTAGACACAGTTTAATACGTATAATATTAGCTTTAAGATGCATGTTTAATAGTTTCAGTATCTTCAATAGTCTTTGAGAAATACTGAAAAGTGTAGATGTTGATTAATCTGAGCGCATGTTACCCAATTAAAATAAATTATACAATAATATAATTATATGTATTTTAAAGTTGATATATTTAGCTTTCAATGTCATATTTCTTATATTAAATGTATTCACTATATACTTAGAAATTCGCTTTAAAGTATAGAGACTGTGCTTATAATTTCAACGTTTAAACTTTTACATTGAATTACACAAATACTATCAAGTGCACTTTGAAGTAATTAGATGTATTTTAGACCTTGAAGTCTTAGCTGTGATTTATGTATTCAATATGTTAAATGTCTTAACTATTTTATGAGATATACGCTATAATGTATAGACTTAAACACTGCTTTTCTCAAAACTTGTTGTCAACTTTGACATCGTATTACATAAAAACTGCAAATGCCACGACCATACAATTAGTTACACTTTAATACGTATAGTATTGGCTTTAAGATGCATGTTCAATAGTTTCATTACGTTTAATAGTATTTGAGAAATACTGAAAAGTGTAGATGTTGATTAATCTGAGCGCATGTTACCCAATTAAAATAAATTACACAATAATATAATTATATGTATTTTACAGCTGATATATTTAGCATTCAATGGCATATTTATTATGTTAAATGTATTCACTATATACTTAGAAATTCGCTATAAACTATAGAGACTGTGTTTACAATTTCAACGTTTAAACTTTTACATTGAATTACACAGATACTATCAAGTGCACTTTGAAGTAATTAGATGTATTTTAGACCTTGAAGTCTTAGCTGTAAGTCGTATGTTCAAAATGTTAAATGTCTTAACTATTTTATGAGATATACGCTATAATATATAGGCAGGCTTTTCTCAAAACTTGTGTCAACTTTGACATCGTATTACATAAAAACTGTAAATGCCACGATCATACAATTAGATACAGTTTAATACGTACAGTATTAGCTTTAAGATGCATGTTCAATAGTTTCAGTATTTTCAATAGTATTTGAGAAATACTGAAAAGTGTAGATGTTGATTAATCTGAGCGCATGTTACCCAATTAAAATAAATTATACAATAATATAATTATATGTATTTTGAAGCAGAACATATTTAGCTTTCAAAATACATATGATTCACTATATACTTAGAAATTCGCTATAAAGTATAGAGACTGTGCTTATAAATTCAACGTTTAAACTTTTACATTGAATTACACAAATACTATCAAGTGCACTTTGAATTAATTAGATGTATTTTAAACCTTGAAGTCTTAGCTATGAGTTGTGTATTCAATATGTTAAATGTCTTAACTATTTCATGAGATATACGCTATAATATATAGGCAGGTTTTTCTCAAAACTTGTGTCAACTTTGACATTGTATTACATAAAAACTGTAAATGCCACGATTATACAATTAGATACAGTTTAATACGTATAATATTAGCTTTAAGATGCATATTCAATAGTTTCAGTATCTTTAATAGTATTTGAGAAATACTTTATAATGTACGGAAGTTACTTTTTCTATAATTGCAATTTCTATGTTTCTTTTATATTTCAACATTTAACATAAAATAACGCGAAAATAAGCAGTGTAGAGACTGTATTTAATTATCTTTCTGTTGAATTTCACTTCTAAAGTATTTGACTGAAAAGTGTAGATGTTGATTAATCTGAGCGCATGTGTTTAGTTGTTGAAGACGGGAATAAATTGTGTTGCGTTCGTATTGTGTTAAAATCTCATTATTCGTATGCTCTTTAATCAGGGATAACAGGCCGTGGCACATATGTTTTCCTGCACGTGCTGGGAACAATGCCAGAGACACCCTCGAACCCAGAGTGTCGAAGTGTGTGCGGGGGGTTGAAGGGATAGGAAAGGGGCGCACCGCACTTGTCACTGCGGCAGTCAATATGTCAATTATCGGCTCCGTAGGCAATTACTTGCGGTTTTCGGGAAGGGGAAGGTAAGGGATGATTTTTTGCCCTTCTCTCTCTCAATCTTTCTTCTTGTTGTTGATCGTCTCCCCTCGTCCTTACAAACATTTCCTTCACACTTCCAACACCTCCTGCGTCCAAATTCCTTCTCTGGAATCGCCCTCATTGTTTATTCAATAAACACTCGTCGTTATCTGATTACAATCATTAGGAATCATCGGATTTGGCGTCCACCCTTCGAAATTCCGATAATCGCGTTAGCCCTGCTTCTCCGCCAACACGCTCCAGATATGCATAAGTGTGCATCTTTTCGCCTATTTTCACTACGCGTCTCCCTTTCACTCCTCCATCCGAGATGCATTGACACACTTTTTCTCATTGTTGTAATTAGAGAAGAAATTGCTATCGGACTGGCATGAATTATAATTAGACATTTCACGAAAGTTTTTTTTTTCTCGCTTCATTATTTACAGCCGCCGCCGCTTTCTATTTATTCTTCCATCCGCGTCAATCCAAATACAAAGAAGCATTTCTTTATTTGCAGACTTTCAAAGCAATCTGAACTTTATTTTGATCCGTTCGAACTGTACGAAAATAAGCGAAATAATAAATAGAGTTTTGGTAGTATCTTTACCAACTGCCATCTTGTTTTCTTTTCTACATTTTGTTTTTCTTTTCTTTTTTTGTATCCATTATAGCAAATAAATTACGTGTTATTTGTCGAGTCGATTTGCACGCCCTTTGGGCATCGTTTTCACGTCTATTATCGTTAATGGTTTGAGTTACGAGTTTTAGATCGGAGCACCGTGGAATCGCGATTTTTCGTCTCTCGGACGTACGCATTCTGCACGGCTGCCATCTTGATCTGTCGTTCTTCAGCAATCAATAATTCCTTCTCCGGCGATTCCATGCCAAAGTACATTTTCTTTTCCATTTATAATAATTTAATTGATTCGTACAAATTTATTACAAATTTATGTTAAATAAATAATAGTGTTATGTGAAATGAAAAAATAAAAACGCTTTATTGATTTTGTCATAAAAGAAACAGTATAGAATCGATAGCTGACATGACCTTCATTACATTTAAAACTGCGACGTTATCCACGCGCCGCTTTTATTTTGTTTTTATTTATTTTTATTTTTTTTTCATTTCTGACATAGAAAGCCGTGAGTTCATCGGCACGGTTCTCTTTGTAATGGAATAATAATGTACACCAAAAAGCGAACTCAATTCTAAATGTTACATTTTACATTAAGAAACAAATCGCATGAATTATATAAGTTTGAGATATGTAAGCAACGTAACTAAAAGTTATTATTAATTAATTAATTAATTAATTAATTATTGTAATCTTAATAAATATTCAATTCAATTTATTTCTGTTACATTAATTATACGAATGATGTTTGTGTTTTAATATTCTGAACTTGACATTTTCTTGCTCTGTATATGCGATATATGGAGTGGATGTAATTGCAAGAAAATTGAATGTATTAATATAATATTATGTACGTGAATTGCATAAGCAATTATTTTAGGTGTTATCAACTTTTAATGGATAGAAACATCATAAAATAGAATATTATGTTGATTGTGGTAAAAATAGAGGCAATTAGAGCTGTTCTTGCTTCGCTAATTGCTTGAATCTGTTATAATGATGTATCAATTATGACGAACAAATTGATATTGCTTTGATTGTGACATGACGTATGGTGAAGAGGTATAATTGATAATGGGTCGGTGGAAATGAAAGTTGTAAGATTCGATTAGCATTCGCTGGGATGCGAAGTTGTAAGTTGTCATGTGTGATGTGAGCATGATAGAGGTGATGATGGTGATTTGGATATAGTTAGGGAATGGTGGATGGAAAGCTGCAGCAGCTTCGTCGACTGTGATTGCTTCGGTTACCTCCAGCTTACTGTGTGTGTGTGAAACGTAATGGTCAATTAACCTTAGTGTCAAGGCTGGTGTTTGTTTTCGAATAAAAATGGAGGGTGGTAGCGTTCGCATCCGCTTGGTGGCGGTCGCGTACGGGTGATGCAATCGAGCGTCTCGGGGGGGTGGGGCATGGGCGTTTCCGGAGTAGGGGCGACCGCCCCTCGAATGATCGTGGCCGTTCGTCGAGCGTTCGGCGCGCGACGCAGGGGGGGATTCGCCGGTCGACGAGCGATCGCGCTATGTCAGTTCGAGGACGGTTCTGTTCGCGTTTATGTTGAATGTTGAAAGGAAAAAGAAGCGACTGCGAGTGTGTGGGAGAGCGTGCGGTGTCGAGCGTGAGATGTGCTGCACCCAGGTGCGATCAGGCCGCGACCCCCGCGCCGACCACGGCCTCGGTCGCCGTTGTTCGGACGACGCGCACGATGGTGCTGTTGTTGTTATTGTTGTCGTCGTCCAAGATGAAGATGATGATGTGCAGGTGGAGCAGCAGCAGAAGGAGTTGTTGTTGTGAGGGTTACATCCAGGAGAGGAGATGAGTGCGGCTCTGCCGCCGTTGCCCGATCTCATACCGATATCGGCGCTGCGGAAGGGCGGAAAGGCGCCCGAGGTAGATAGTTTCAATAATAATTGCAGCAGCAGCAACAGTAGTTGCAACAGCAGTATCAGTACTGGTAGTACTACCTGCAGTAGCAATAGCAGTAGCAGCAGGAGGGACGTCCAAGATTGTTCGCCCTGCAACTCGACCCAGTGTTCCGGCGGAGAGGTTATGGGAGAGCAGCGCTCGCGGCGAACGGGGAAACAACCTGCCGTCGACCTGATCGATACGTCGCGGTCACGTGGTAACGACGTCGCCGCCCCTCAGCAACGAGCGTCGTCCTCCACCGCCGCCGCCGCTGCGACCCGGAAAGCCCGCTCCGAGCGTCATCGTAAATCAGACAGACGACGCGAACGCGACCGCCGCAAACGATCCACCTCCTCGCTGAAATCGTGCTCTTCTCTGCCATCGTCGCCGGAAAGACCCGCGAATCCGCGCGTCAATCCCATTTTCGTCTGGGTACGTCAACAGGACTCTCAAATCGTGGAAGTCAAATGCGAAGACTACGACAAGCGGAATCGGATTCTGCTGACGAAGACCCCGCAGGGATGGCGCGCGATACCTCGAACGGAGACGCTGGCGCCCACCCTCCAGAGAACGGATGACACCAACACCAGTAACTCTTCGAGCACCGTCGACCACCGGGCCAAGAGGAAGACCAAGAAGCGCAGCAACTGCAAGGTGAAACGAAGATCTACCGGTGTCCAAGTTGACGATCACGAGCTGGAAAGTGAGGGTGCATCTTCTCCGTGGAACGCGCACGATCTCGATCCTGACCCGGACCCCGAACCCGAGCTGGACTCTGAAATCGAGATAATCGAAGTTTTCGGCGCGGTCAAATCTCCGGTCGCGGAGGAGGAACCTTGTGCAAACAGTAACAGCAGCAGCAGCAGCGTTAGTAATAATAGTCGTAGCAGTGTTTCCGTTTCCGTGTCTGAATCAAGTGCGCAAGTGACAAACACACAATCGACTACCGATTGCAACAATAAAGGAGACGTCGTCAGCCCGCTTGACAACCTCCTCGCAGTCGCCGAGCTGGAGTTCAATCAGCAGATTCAGTCGGAGCAGCAGTGGGAGGTGAAACCTCCACCGTACAAAGTGGAGCTGGTGGAGGAGGAAGAGGAAGAGGAGGAAGAAGAAGGAGAAGAAGTTGACGAGGAAGAGCAAATTGATAATATGCAGCAGTTGGATATATTCATAGAGTCGTGCGCCCCGACACAGACCCCAGAAATAGAGATGAAGGCCAAGCCCGATGATTGCGAATGCGATTACACCGAAGAGGACGATAACAATCTGGCGATGGACGATATTCTGAGTCGCCTCGAGCAATCCCTTCGCAGCCCCGACACCCTCCATTCAGAGATCAACGAAATCATCAAGAACCAAAAGCCGGATCCGTCGCCTCCGGCTCCACCGCCCCCGCCTCCGCCGCTCCATCGACACAGTAACAACAACAATAATAACAACAATAGTAGCAGCAGCAGCAGCAACGGCAACAAACCAACGGAGCAAGAAACCCCGACGGATCTCTCCACAACCACTAAAGATAAGTACGAGGAGCTGAACGACCTAATGCCCACAGACCTCACGCTCCCCAAATCCCCCCACAAACGTCCGCAGTCGCAGAACTCGGAGACGATCCAATCGCCACAGCCGAGCGGCATACCAGCCGTACCTCATTCACCCGACCTATTATACAGTGCCAACAAGTCCAAGTCCAACATATACCTGGAGTCTCTGCTGTCCCCCCCACTCAAGGAGTCTCCACCGCCACCGAAGGAACCCCTCGATCTGGGCAAGACGCGCGAGTCGGACAGCCCCAAAGTTACCTGCTCACAAGAAGTTCAAAACCCGGAACCACCGACCAAAAAGATCAAATTAGAAGATATCACGCTGAAGACGCTCCTCGATAACGAGTCGAACAAATCCGAGAACCATAAAAAATCCGAAAACAAGAACGCCCAAGAGACACCGCGACTTCTGGAGCTCCTGACCGAGGAGAGCGAAGTGATGATGGCCGTCGATCCAGTGACGCAATTGAAGCAGCTTCTGAAAAACACCAGTTTGAACATACCAGATCCGATGCTGATACCAAAGGATAAGCTCAGCCAAATCTTATCATCGCCCGCTCAAGAAATCCCGAAATTACTCACCGAAAGGCCAGAGTTGCGACTGCCGGAAGCTCTCGCGTTTCCGCATCTGCTACAAGATCCAGACATTTTGGTGATCACGCTATCCCAATTGCAAACTATCATTCAAAAGCAGAGTCAATCTCTTCCGCTGGCGGATAAAACTACCGAGGAAATTAAGAAGAAACCGGAGTCGCCTAAACCGCAGTTGCCGCCACAAAAACCACAAATTCTCCAACAGCAACAGCCTCCGCTTGTTACACAACCTGCACCTAAAGAAGATCCAAAAACTACGACGACGGCGACGACGACGAACAGTGCAAGCAAGGCTAAGAGCAGCAGAATATCGGAGCTTTCGAGTGATATCGATGCGGCGACGAACGCGGCGTTCACACAGATGATGTGGCTGCCCTATTTGAATCAATTAGAGTCGGCCGCTATGACTTTTGGAAATAATCCGGAATTCCTCAAGTTGCTCTCGACGATGCTGCCCAGTTTTCCCGGACCAATGCCGGATATGACTCGCATGATGGGACCGAATCGTCTGCCTGCGTTCCAGCCGCCGACGTTCCCGATGCAACCGCCTATGAACTACAACCCATTGGAATTGTCGATGTGGCAGGAGGCTATGCTGCAGGCCAATTTGGCGCACACGAAGAACCAGTTCGATCTGTTCAGCAAGAAGGATTACAAAGCGAAAAATAACAATCTGATGTTTGGTAACAAAAATCCGTTCATGAATGTACCGCCGTCGAATTCGAGCCAGTTCGGCGGCTCCACCAGATCCAATCTTCAAATGCCACCGTACAATACGCATCCTACTGCTAAGCATGGGAAGAGCAGTAGCAAACACGGCAGTTCTAACGGTGCCAATAAGAGTATGGATTACGTGAAGTCGATTTTTCACCAACAACATCAGCAACAGCAACAACAACAGCAACAGCAGCAGCACCAGCAGATGCAGCAGCAGCAGCAACAGAAGTTGTACGAAAGCGAAAAACAGTTGAGGCAGATGGACAGCCGGCAGAAGGAAATGTTGAAGCAGCAGGAGACCGCGTACAAGCAGCACCAGGAGTTGCAGAAGCAGCAGGAGTTATTCAACAAGCAGCACGAGTTCTACAAACACCAGCAGGAGTTGTACGCGCAGAAACCGAAGGTGGTCTGCAAATCGTTTGCGAATATGTCGGCCAATCAGGACGTGGCTGCTTCCGCTTCAGTTTCCGGAAGTAAACGATACCACAGCAGTAGCAGCAACAGCAGCAGACTTCCGGGTCCAATAGATCTATCCGGTTCTACGGCCGTCCCAGTGAGCGGAGGTGGCAAGTTGAAGGTCAAGCAGCATCTCATTGATCCGATCGGTTCGTCGAGGCTGCTGAAACACGACGATGTGCCGGAGGTGGGCAGCACTACGGCCAGCATCGAGGAGATGCAGGACGCACAGAAGCATCTTTGGCATCCGCTGTTTGGAAAGTAAGTCCTTTTGTGACGACAGTAGATTGATTGACTGATTGATTCATCGATTTTGTTGTTGCAGCCAGAAGAGCTACACAAGTCCTTGGAATTGGACGACGGTCACTGCGACTGGCGAATAACATAGGCCGTTACCTCCAAACAATTGGAGGCAAGTCCAACAGCAGCAGCTGCAGCATCAGCAGACCCAACTACAGCAGCAACAGCAGCAGCAACAACTTCAACAGCAGCAGCAGCAGCAGCACCTTCATCACCACAACCACCATCAGCATTCCCATCATCATCAGCAGGCTCAGCAGCAGCAACAGCATCACCATCATCAGCAGCAGCAGCAACTCCACCACCATCATCATCAGCAGATGCAGCAGCAGCAGCATCATCAGCAGCTACAGGCGACGACCACCCTGCAGCAGACCACCAAGAACATGGACATGTTTACAGGGTTTGATTTTGACTTTCTTTCCAAGTAAATATTCCTTTTTTCTTTTCATAATCGCAGCGGACGGGCCGCTATTTTGCAATTTCATCTCGAACAGACACGAACAGACAAAAAGAAAACAAAAATAGAGACCTACCGAAGACCCCCCCCTTACATTTATGATTCAATACTGAAAGGGGGGTGGTGGTGGTGCACAGATCACCTGTTGCTTTGCGGGATTGCGGCAGGCCAAAATTTGACCCGGAAAAGCGCGAGTATATATGGGTGGTATGGGTATGGTGGTAGTTGCAGAATGCGAACGAGCTGAGCCGCGAAATCGAGGGGGGCGACGGCATGTTGCAATGTAGTGCAAGGCGACGGTAGAACGCAGAGATGCCTATGCCGAGGGTGCAGGGGGAAAAGGGGTTTTGGGATCTAGTAGGCGCGCGCGGGGGTGGCAGGGTTTTCGGAGGCGGCAGCGTTCGCGATCGATCGATAAATGGGGAAAAGGCCGTGGAGCAGCGCGACTCAAGCTCGCGGCGCGCTGACGGCGGTTCCATCGGCTGCCCCGAGGTCACGGGTTCACCGACTACTACAACAACAACAACAAACAACGGCCGCGCGCACTGCTTCCCCATAAATTCTACTTACTGCTCTTTCCTTGAACACTTCCATACCGAAAACAAAAGTATAAAACACAGAGAGAGAGCGACCTACCGACCGAACAAAACACACATATTTACACCGCCGCAAATTCCATTTGTTTCGAACTAATTGCACGACATCATTTGAAACGTATACATGTACAAATTTGAATGCACTTTTACTTTAACCCATTTAGTCCCAAACTGAAGCAAACATTAACATTTCACAACACAACTTTTAAGATTAAACTACACAACTGATTTATATTATTATTGTTATTATTTGAACACAGAACCGGTATAAATAAATCATTAAATGTCAATCTGCATTTCATTACGTTTTTAATTGATTGAACGTTAATTGCGATGAATTTGAGTATTTGCAAACTCCGAAATAGTCAACACAAACGAGCAACATAAAAAAATAAATCTGCACCGGTATTATTTCAAATCCAATCGGATTTCGCATTAAATTGGACGACACGAGTAATTCGATATAACGTGCAATTGTATATTCAACTTTCCTTCCTCCATATTATTCAATTACAAAATTCCCTCTCAAATTATCTCGAAAAGCAAACGAAGTACTGTGTACTTATACGTCTAGATGTATTTGAAGCAAGTGAGGTGTAAACTTTGGCGAATACGACTCCGAATTCAGTTGTCAAATATTAGAGTGAACATTGTTGGTAGCGTCGCGTCTCGTCTCTCTCTTCTGTACCCGTCACAGAATTTAATCCAAGAGCAAACAGTTTTCCATTAGTCTGGAGATAATTGGGCGACGTCGTAATTCGATACAAATTTGCGGATGGAAGCCTTCTAAATTCTATAAGGAAAACTCGATTTTCCGAAAACCATCCGCGTACAACGTATATTAATTAAGTAGTTCCGCGGTCGCGCTACGTAAAGAAAGCGGGAGACGCACTCGAAGCGGAAAATTGGATCTGATTCAATAGAGATTTAGCGATGCGCGTATATTAATAAAATTATCCTGCACGGGCGGGACACGCTGAAAAGCTTTCATCACTTAGTAAACAAGTTTTAAGTTGAAAGCTTTTAGTATTGAGTATATTACTACGGGGCAGCAGCAGCAGCAGCAACAATCGATACAAGCGAAGTTGTAGTGTGGTAGTAAGGAGGAGAGAAGAGTAAGAAAGAGAGAGAGAGAGAGTGAGGATGAGGTGAAGGCGGAGGAGAGGTGCACGGTGAAAAGCGGGCGCATTGATGGATAATCGATGCGAGCGTAGGCGGGCGAATTGCGGGCAATTTGTTCGTATAAATGGAAGATTATTGCGATGATGATTACGATGATGATAATAATGATGATTGATTCGTGAAATGGATGGTCGAGGTCGCGTCGCATGATGACGCTTCGAATCTGGGACGGGCAGACTTAAAATAGTGAAATGAGACTGCACTGATCTGACCTGGTGAGCTAGCTACCAGCGGCAACGATGATGAAGTTTACGTCGGTGCGCGACGACCAATTGCAATAATATCCTCATTTACGTACTCTATCCGCCATCAAAATCATCATCATCATCATGGTAATCATCATCAACAGCAGCAGCAGCAATCGTCGTCATCTAACGCGCGGCTGCCGCGAATAGTTCATTCACCGTACGAAGCCACGGCTCTAGAATGTGCCGACGACTACATTGCTCCTCCATCTGCACAATACCACCACATAACAACATACTATACAGTTCTCTCCGCCCGCTCTTCTCACTCCCCGTCACAAAACGTACTTTACTGTTACCGCACAATCAACTTTGCGCCATTTTTTCGTCGCTTCTGTCTCCTCTCTTGTTTGCTGCACTCCACTCTTTCATTTCACCAGGAACAATGGAAACACCGCTCCGCACTACACCGCACTATCAATCAATTGCGATTGTTGTACCGTTCCAACAATACGCATTCATCTACAACATTGCAAACCCAATGAATCAAAACGATTACTTAGTTCAAGTAATTTCGCTCAACAATTAATGAACTTTCATGTTCCTTTTTGCAAGAAATAATTGCATTCAATTGATATTCTGTAACTGGGGTTACAAAGAGCCTCCAAGAACTTGTTCAAACGCTAATTTGCCGAACCTTAACCCCAAGTCAACATAATCGAATGCAATGAGCGAAGACGCAATTAATCGTTAATCGCTAAATGCATCCAATTTAAAAAGAAGAAAATGAATGAATCAAACATCGATCGATCGCTTTTAATTGATGGATCAATCGTATTTTGCGACGTTAAAGTATGCAGTCGCAGGAAAATAAAACGCTGCTAGAGCACGTGACGTCGCGTACGTTGCCAGGTTATTCAACCTTCAATTGTTTTCTAAATAATTGCAATTACCCCGACGGACGAAGAAAAGTAAAGTACGAAAATATGGGAATCCGTTCAATATTGTTTTGTCATTCGCGACGATGATCAACTTTTGTAAAGGCGAAGCTCTCTGACCTCAGGAAACCGTTCAAGTGTAAACCATCTTTTGAGTTAAGCTTCTCCACTTTTTTCTGCATCAGAAAGTACGAACACTTAACATTTCCAATTTCATATGTGATATCATCTACTATTACTAATTACATTTACGAAACTGTTTTCATAAAACAGTTAGTAAAATTTCATCACATTTCCTGTTGGTTTCACGTTAATTTTTTTTGAGTATTTCCGGTTTAAAAAATTTCATTTTATTGCGAATTTTAAATCGAAACGTGTGAAAATAAATAAATACTATAAACGCAGTGGGGAAAACTAACAAACAAACAAACAAAAGAAATGTATATATGGGTGAAATGATAAACAAACAATTATGTAACGTGTCGGTTAAATGAATTGCGTTTAATGGAAATACAACAAATTCCGGGCGGAAATTACATCGCGTTTGACCAAAAAACGAACTAAATAAATTGTTGATCTGACACGCGAAATACAAATCCGTTATTTACAATAGAAATTCTATATTTAAATCCAATCAATTTCCAATTTCAGCTGAATTGTTAATTATTTCAACGAAATCCATACGCTTTATTAATTTTCGTTGATTTGTGTTCTTTTATTTTATGGATAATTTTTTGGAAAATTGGAGAAAAAAAATGTAATAATGGAGTAAATGTTTGCTTTGAACGAGTGTTTGTTTTCCTAAAATTGCATATGCAATAACAATAACGAGACTAATTGGCGAAGCGAAAACATGCAGAATGTGTAACAGTAAATGGTATTAATTAGGTAATCGTTCCACCGTATTGTTATTAACATGAATAATTCCCGTTAATTGCATTATTAATTAGCCATTAAACGCGAGCATTAATTTATAGTGCACTGTACGAATTAAAGGTATTCATTATAAATGTAATTCGCGTTTAGTCCAAATTGGGGATTAAGTAGGCGAGGAGAAAAATATGAAATGCAAATGTCAAAAATCTGTCATCGATGTGTCAAAAAAAAAATAATCAACAGACAAATATTGAATTATCGAATTGGAATTGACGTCGGAGAAGTGAAGTGAAAAGAAAAAGTGCAAACAAGATCTCTTTCTGCGCTTTGGACTCGGATGGTGGTCAAAGAAGTCGAAAAGGCAACGAAAATATTTACGTACCATTTAACGCTTAATTCATCTCTTTGTCGTGTCAATTAAGATCGCCGCCTTTTGTCCCTTTTTTTTTGTTTATTTATCCATTGGTGAATGGACTCTGCAAATTAACCCACGCACCGTTAAACAATCTCTTAATGTACTCGCACACAATCGTTATCGTCATTATTGCTTCTGTTCTCGTCTCTGAGTTTACATTTGCAATCCATTCGATCTTATTTACTTTGACAAGACAATTTTGACACTTGTCAAATTAGATACGTCATAATATCATTTGACAATCAAGTACGTTTATGTCAAAATGTTTTAAGCTCGATTCGGAACGGATCGGTCACGTTTCTCCCATAGCAAAAATATCAATTCAGGCACGTGCGATTTCGACTTTTTTTTTTATTATTATTAACTATTACTAAATCAATGCAAACTCGTTGAACAGTCTCAATCCAACACACCCATGTTGTCATTTATCTCTCTGCATTCATACGTGGTGGAGCTGCACACTCTCCAGACAAAAGACAGTTCTTCTTCTTATTCTTCTTTTGCTCACCATTCAAAG